CGGACTCACAAGGCTTTTTGTCCGGGGCCCTTTTCCACCCTTATGGGATCAGTTGTTTTTTGTAACTGGAAGAACCCAGATTGGATGCCCCTTGTTTGAAAAGAAAGTGACCCCCTGACCCCAGAAAACACCCTTCTCCCCCCACCCCACTCACACACCTAGAGGAGGCTAGCCTTTGTTTAGATAGATCCAGTGCTTGCTGTCTTGTCCATTGCAAAAATAAACATGAATCAAAATCACATTGTCTGAAGAAAGGATCATTGGTCCTACAGGCTCCTGTTATTTGGGATCTGTATGACCTTGGGCAAGTCACTGCTTATCACTGACCCTTGTTTTTCTCATCTTTAACATGAGGGGACTGGAAGGATTGATCTTAGTCTAAGATCCTTCTCAGCTCTAAATACTATAATCAGTTAGAACTCATGCATCCTCAAGGGGGAGAAAGGGGAGACAACATATCTAGGGATGCTATAAGAGAAACCCAAGATACCGAGTGTATGGAGACTCACTAAGGGGAGGGGGGAAAGTGTGTTGGAATTGTCATACTGAGGCAGAATCAAGATGGCAGGGAGAGATGAGGTTTAGCCTGGCTTGTCCAGCACACCTCTTTGACAAAGATCTAGAAAACACGCCAAACCAAATTCTTACTGGGAAAGTCAAGAAAAAGCCACAGTGAGGCATTTTTGCAGACCAGGGCAGCTTAGAGGGACAGACAGAGAGGTCGGTGAACACTGGAGACAAGGCTTCTGTTGAGCTTTCCAGGACACGAGTGCAGGAAGCACAGGGGAAGAAAGAGATCCCAGGGGACCCCTGAACTAGCACTGGGTGCTGGGACCTGGGCCATCTGTTGGCTCTACCGCCTGGATCCTGGGTGAAGAGGAACAGTCCCAGCTGCAAGCACGGGCCCTCGCCATGAACTGGACAAGGAACAAGTTCCAGACGCTTGGCTGTGTGGTCCTGAGACCCACAGCAGAGCAGCAGCTCGGTTCTAGCCTTTGGCCCAGTGGCTAAGCCCGCAGAACTGCCAGGACAGGAATCCCGGACCAAAGGGGAGCCAGTAAGTACTTCAGTCTCTCTGAACCTGCAGAACCTCTCAGTGGGTTAACAGTGTCTAAGGCCTCCAGCAGACTATTGGAACTCAACCCCACACAAGCCAACAGACCCAACTTCATTGTCCAAGAGGATGATAAACAGACCACACCACTCTGGGAGTGCTAAAAACATGCAGGGCCCCCAGACTGAGCTGTGAAGCAGCAAGACATAAAAGGATGGAAGGTCAAGCCAGACATCCCCTCCCAAAGTACGTGGAGCCCAGCACTAACACAAAATGCAAAGTCCAGAAGGAGGCTACAAGAATGAACAAACGCAGAAAGAACCCAAGCATCAAAAGCTGCTATGGTGACAGGGAAGTCAAGACACAAACACAGAAGACGGTGACTTGTAAACATCTACAAGCAAGACTCAAAGGGAAAGGGCAGATTGGACACAAGTCTAACAAGGATTCCTAGGAGAGCTAAAGCGAGAGTTTAAAAAAAAAGGGTTAAAAAGTGATTTTAAAAACCAAATGAGAGCAGTAGAGAAAACGAGAAAAGAAAGACTAGGGAAGAAAGACAGGAAAAGAGAATGAACAGCTTTGTAAAAGAGGCATAAAACCTTAATGAAGAAAATGACTCCTTGAAAATTAGAATTGGCCAAATAGAAACTAGTAACTCCATGAGACATCAAGAATTGGCATAGCAATGCAAGAGACTGCATTCTGGTTAGCAGGCAAATCGTTCAAGTTTATTTAGGGAGAGTTGCCCTTTTTTTCAGAGTAATGGATCCCAAATTATCAGTGAATATAGTGGCATATTTATACACTTGCAGACCCATAGGAGCCGAAAGAGAGTGGGTTTTAGTGAGAACAGGTAGGGAGCAGGCTTCAAGGTCACATTTGGCAAGCACCCCAGGGGCAACGTTCTTGGGAACTGATGCTTCAGTTTGAGACAAAAATGATCCAATTCAGCTGCTCAGATGTGATAAGGGCGCCAGGAGACTGAATGAATAGGAGTGAATGGGGGAGGGGAGAGACAGGTCTGAAAGGTGGGAGCCAACTCTTGAAAGCCAACATTTGTGAGAACCCACAAAAGGAAAGGCCTTGGGTATATGAGAAAACCCGTTCTTCCAGCTTCCCAAGTTTTCTTCACAAAACAGATCAATCTGGCATCTTCTCATTTCTAATGTGGGAAAAGTAACTTTTTGCCTTCAGTTAGATGAGAGCATTTAGAACATAAGGCAGGAAATATAATGGGAAAGGATTAGGTATATATTTTATCTTTTCCATGATAGACCCTAACTTGATAAAGAACTCTGTTAGTGTCTCTTTTTATAGGTATCCTATCCTAAATTCTATTTTATTCTAGATTCAATTCTATTCTAGATATTTGTATAAATGTTTCCTGGCTTTTTTGTTATAAGGTCTTTTCACTGAAGGAACTATTTTTTTTTCATCTTTATATTCCAAATGCTGTGTGTAGTAAATCATAAATTGAAAGGCTAATTATGTTTACAGAGCCCTTGAAAATAAATGAGAATGTGATGTAGAGTTAAACTCTTATCAGGTGAATGTGTGAAACTTAATATGGCAGAAGCAGCGGGAAAAGTGATCTAAGGGAGGAAGAAAGGACAGAGAGGGAAAGAGCTCTGAAAGCAGGAATGGGGAACAGAGACACAGAAGCTGTGAGAGGCGCCCGTGAAGAAGTGGCACCTCTGACAGCAGAAAGCGTGGCAAACAGGGTGGCCCCCAAAAGGCATGGGGCAGAGGCAGGGAGTGGCGAGGCCAAGCTAGAAACGGCCAGCCCTGGATGCGACAGAATGGGAGGGCCTTGTTCCAGGAAGGGAAGGACCTGTGACTAGGGGAAGGGGATGGACTCTTGAGGCATCACAAGAAATAATGCATCATTCCCGAAGGAGACGTGGAGGATACATACAAAATCTAACCGTGCTGAATGCAGAAGACATTTATCCACGGATGGCGACTGCACAACCCCAGTACTGTATGGAAAACCGCGAAGAAGCGCAACGGGTGACTTCTTGGACCCCTCTCTTATTCCAATCAGTATTAATCAGGGGTGCTGATTATAAGCTCTGCATATTGGGCCTCAGAGCTGGGAACTGCAGATTGCAAGTTCACTTGCCCAATCATAGGAAGCTAACCAGACGCCCTCCACCCTTGTTTTTCCTTGTTACGGGACGGAGCCCTGCGTGCCAGAGGTGAGTCAATTACATGGAAAGCCCCTCAGCTTCTCATCCCTCTATTGGCCGACATGGGAGATAAACATAAGCCAATGAGTGACCTAGTTGCCTGTCTTCGACCTGCCTTTCTAGCAGCCCTCAGCCCATGTGGATGCCTTGACATCCACTCATTAGCCCCACCCCATGAGCCTGTGCATCTGCTTTGGTAGGACCCAAGATAGCGCACTAGCCTGTTTGGCAACCAATGGGATTTTGCATTTTGTGTAGACCCTCCGGGAGGGGCGAGGGCAAGGTCTATCCACCAATCAGATTCTGTATTTTTGGCCCGCTCCACCTGCATCGTCCAGCTATCAAGCATTATAAAACTAAGGCCTTGGAGGCACGAGGCATCTCAGATCCACTGCATTAGAGGGGGCCATGGACCCTTGACTAAAATATCGTTGGCTCAGAGCTCTGTCTCAGTTTTTTTTCTTGCAGATTGGACAAATTTGAAAATCCCCACAGAAGGGAAAGAGTCCTAGGGGCATAAGGTAATGGGCTGCACCCTTTGTTAGCACCTTGGGAAAGGAAAGGAGCCCAGGTGTTATTTTTGGTGTTTTGTTTTGGGCTAGGTAATGGGTTAAGTGACTTGCCCAGGGTCACACAGCTAGTAACTGTTATGTGTCTGAGGCTGGATTTGAACGCAGGTTCCTGAATCCAGGGCCAGTGCTCTATTCACTGTGCCACCTAGCTGCCCCACCCCCACATGTTATTTTTAAAGACCATAAATAAAGGTTACTCTTTCACATGGACTTGTTGAAAATTCTCATTTCTACAGTGCCTTCCACTTACACTACGTGTGGATAGAGAGAGGGACGGAGATGTCCATATTGTCTCCTCCATTGAAATGTAAGACCCTTGAGGACAGGGGCCCTATTTTTGTCTTTGCTTGTATCTATTCCCAGCTCTTAGACCAGTGTTTGGCACAGAGCAGGCACTTGAGGAATGCTAGGTAACAGATTTTTAAATATTTTTGTTGACGTTATTCAACATCTCCCTAAAGTGCTCGCTGAGCCCTGAACTCCAATCAGAGAGACCCCTACCACTTCCTGAAGCATCACTTTCTATGCCTGCTTAGCTTTTTTGGGAAGTTTTTGTGACAACCAGTCAGAATTTGTCCCTTTGAAACACCCACCCTTTGCTTCTCTGGAGCTAATAAACACCAGTTTTCTCCCTCTTCCAGAGGACTACCTTCCGATACTAAATGGTATCCATCATGTTCTCCACAAATCTTTTTCTCTCCAGGCTAAATATTGCTGGACCCTTGAACAGATCCCTCCATGATACAACCCAGAGTCCCTCCCCAACCCTGAAACGAATGCAGCTCCTCAAAGTCCTTAAAATGTGCTAGCCTGAATTGAACACAACCTTCCAGGTGTGAGCAAAGGAGGATCACACTGTGTTTATAACGTCCTCATTCCTGACAACCAGGCCTTTCTTAATGTACCCCATGACTGCCTCAGACATTTTGGCTGCAACATCATAGCACTGATGCATACTGAGTTCACAATTCAATAATAACCAACCCAAAATCTTTTCCTATTGCCATCATATCACGTCTGCTCCATCTGGAATTGTTGAAGTTTTGTGTGTTTTTCAATCCAAATGCAAGATCTAACATCTATTTAATTTTGAAATTTGGCCCCATGTTCTAGACTGTCAAGACACTCCTGGATCCTGATTCTATTATTTGGTATGACCCAGATTGATGTGAACTCAAGTTTCTAAAAATAAAATGTTTATTATTATGAACTTGACAAAAATAAACGAGGATTATAGTTCCTAAGACCACAGAGTGTGAACTCAAAGACTCTTACAGTCCAGCCTCCTCATACAGCACCCAGTGCCTGCCTAACACAAGCTTCATATAGGTTTTGTCTACCTATTTTACATCACTTCCATATATAAAACCCTTGAAAAACAATACCAGTAACTGTGGATTTTGATTATATACAGGTTGTTTTTTAATTACACAACAAACTGGAGGTAGTAGTTCCAAAACCGTCTTGTCTGTGTCCCTGTTTCAGTGCAATGAATGATGACTGCCAATGATGGAGGATGAACCGTGTCTTCCACATCCTAGCAGAGATGCAGAATGAAAGGTCTATTTTCAGACGTGGCTGAAGTGCTACCAGGTTAGCTTGACTGCGTGTATATGTTAAAATAGAAGGCTTGGGGGTGGGGGGTGAGCGAACAGACGTAGATGAGGAGAGGAAGGTTAGTGACAGTGAGGCTAAAGAAAAAAGAACGTCAACAAAATATTTTTTAAATACACAGAAGGGAGCAGAGAATTTGGTAAGTGCAGCATCTGTGTCTCCACTTCAAGAGCTCGGGAGCCTGGGGCACTCCCTTGCAGGCCTTTCACTCTGCCGCTGAATCACTAATGATAACTCTTTAGAGTTGATGACTCAACCCAGTTTTGGACCCATTTAATTCGACACTATCTAGTCTACATTGCTCTATTTTTTTTTTCCACAAAAAGACTTCGTTAACTACCTTCACTCTAGGTTAAACTATACCTACAGCATTCCCTTAACCCCATTCAATCAACAAGCATTTCTTAAATGCCTACTATGTGCCAGGCACTATGCCAAGCACTGGGGATACAAAGAAAGTTAAAAAAAAATGAACAGTCCTTGCCCTCGAGGAGCTCACAGTCTAAGGGGGAGGGGTGGAAACAGCATGTAAACAAGATATAAACTAGTTTAGTAACCTCATCAATCAGTAAAGGAAATGAGTTTAGTCCAGCATAACATGTTCTTTTAAAAATAATTTTCATATGTTTTCATATGACCTCCACCCCTTTCTACCCAGGAAGCCATCTCTTGTAATAAAGAATGAAGATGGGAAGGGTAGGAAGTAAAACCAACCAACACAATCCAGCAAATCCAACAGTGAACACAAGGTTATCTATCCCCAGTCTTCCCATTTCTGCAAAAAAAGGGAGGCAAGTGCATTTCCCATTCCCTGGGGTCAAGCTGGGTCACTAAAATGACACTGCATTTAATTTTCTTGTTCTGTTTATATTGTTGTATTCATTGTCTATATTGTATTGCTGGTTCTCCTTACTTTATCCTGCATCAGTTCAGGTTATCTCATGTTCTTTTGAATTCTTCACCATTTCTTATAGCACAGCAGAATTTCATTATCTATAACACAATACATTTAGCCATTCCCCAATCAACGGGCAGCTACTTTGTGATAGCCTGTTCTTGATGAAGAAATTTATTACATTCAAAATGTTTTGATCCAGTATGGATTTTCTGATGTTTAATAAGGTGTCCACTCTGGCTAAAGCCTTTCCCACATTCATTACATTTAAAGGGTTTCACTCCAGTATGGGTTCTTTGATGTCTAATGAGGTGTCCTCTCTGGCTGAAGCCTTTCCCACATTCATTACATTCAAAAGGTTTCACTCCTGTGTGAGTTCTCTGATGGGTGATAAGGACTGCCCTCTGTCTAAAGCCTTTCCCACACTCACTACATTCAAAAGGCTTCTCTCCAGTATGAATTCTCTGATGATAAATGAGGTTTCCTCTCTGACTGAAAGCTTTCTGGCATTCATTACATTCAAAGGGTTTCACTCCAGTATGAGTTCTCTGATGTCTAATAAGATGGCCCCTCTGGCTGAAGCCTTTACCACATTCATTGCATTCAAAAGGTTTCTCTCCAGTATGGATTCTCTGATGGCTTTTCAATACTTGACTCTCAATGAAGGCTTTTCCACATTCATTACATTCAAAGGGTTTCACTCCAGTATGGATTCTCTGGTGATAAATAAGCAGCCCCCTCTGGCTGAAGGCTTTCCCACACTCATTACATTCAAAGGGTTTTTCTCCAGTATGAATTCTCTGATGGCTTTTGAGTACTTTACTTTCACTGAAGGCTTTCCCACATTCATTACATGCAAAGGGTTTCTCTCCAGTGTGAGTTCTCTGATGAGTAACAAGGATTGCCCTCCGGCTGAAGGCTTTCCCACACTCATTACACTCAAAGGGTTTTTCTCCAGTATGAATTCTCTGATGATAAATGAGCTGTCCCCTCTGGCTAAAGGCCTTCCCACATTCATTACATGCAAAGGGTTTCACACCAGTGTGAGTTCTCTGATGCCTAACAAGGTTGGCCCTCTGGCTGAAGCCTTTCCCACACTCATTACATTCAAAAGGTTTCTCTCCAGTATGAATTCTCTGATGGCTTTTGAGTACTTTACTTTCCCTGAAGGACTTTCCACATTCAATACATTCAAAGGGTTTCACTCCAGTATTTAATTTCTTATGTTTAATCAAGAGTTCCTTGTGACTAAAGCCTTTCCCATATTGATTACATTCGTAATGCTTTTCTCCAGTGTCACTTCTCTGATGTCCGGTGATATTTTGTCTTCTGCCAAAGGCTTTTCCACATTCATTGTGTTCATGTAGCCTTTCTCTAGTATGAATTCTATGAAATTTAACTAGGTCTGAGCGATAACTGAAGGGCTTTCTGCACGAGCTACACTTACCCAAGTTTTTCTCTAAGGAGGATCTATTACACACATTCAGTTCTGAAAAATCCCTGAAGCTCTTTCCAAGTGTCTTATATTTATGGAACCGTTTCTCCACACCTCCCTTCCACAATGCACCCAAGACTGACCCCAGACTAAAACTTCTCCCCAGTGTATTTCCCTGAGGCACATCCCCTTTATTAAATGTTGTTCTAGGAGGGATTGCCACTTGTCTGGACTGCCTCTCTTGGCTACCCTTCGGTTTCTCTAAATTAATATCATCTTCTCCAGCTTCTTGAATCTTTGAACACTGCATGGGATCCTTTGGCAATATTTTCTTGGATGATTCTTCCATGCAAACAGCCTGTATCAGAAGGGAGCCTTTGCTTGTAACCCTGCTGTCCTCAATACAGAGATCTGAAACAAAGGAAGGAAAAGTCACTAACTTACTATTTGTTATGCTGAAAAGAACTTTCATAGAAAGCTTTAGTACCTATCTCTTCTATCAGGAGAAAAATGTTCAATTTGGACCAGGCAGAACAAAACTGTTTAGAAGAAATGAAGCCAAAAACAGGTAAAAAGATAATAACAGAGCACTTGAGTGCTCACACTCAATGAATTAAAAAGCTACAGATGTCATTAAAAAGATACGTCAGCGAGAAAACTGAATTATCCTCTGCAGAACAGAGGAACGTCACTGAAGAAGGGATCAACTAACTCTATTATTCAATAGAAAAAGTATAAAGATTGCAAAGGATAGACAAAACTATCCCTACTTGCTGATGACTTGATAGTTTACTTAGAAAACCTTAGGAAATCAGCAAAGAAACTAACTGAAGCAGTTAATAGCTTTGGCAAAGGTTCAGGCTACTTAATAAATCCACAAAAATCAATAGTATTTCTGTGTGAATAAGGACATAATACAAGAAGCAACAATAGAAAGGGAAATCACACTCAAAATAACTACAAAATGCATAAAATATTTGGGAGTCAATGCACAAAATCTAAAAAGAAATAATAGAAAGGGAGGTGCCAAGAAAAATGAACCCAAATGGCATAAAATTTCTGAAAGCCAGCCCATCAGGGCATATTCCAGACTCAAATGAAATTTTAAAACACCTTGTAACAAAGTAAAGAATGCCCTTCTGCTGACTGGAGGGACAGACATTACTCACTGTTGGGCTGAGCCAAAATAATAAAAACGATGATACCATCTAAACAAATATACAGATTAGCAGCTATTCCAATCAACTTACCAAGGACATATGGGACCTTTATTTCTATCTTTTTGAGGCATAGGCCTAGAAGTGGGCTCTCTGGGTTCAAGTATATGGACATTTGGAAATTTTTCTTGGTTGCCTGTGGAAAGAGGCATACTGATACCCTGTTGATGGAGCTATGAATTGGTCCAATCATTCTGGAAAGCAGTTTAGAATTATGTCCACAAAGTAACTAAAATGTCCATACCCTTTAGGCATATACCTCAAAGAGGTCAAACAGAAGATCACATATATACCAAAATATTCCTAACAGCAGTTTGTAAAGGCAAAGAGCTAGAAACAAAGTGGATGGAGATATATGAGTGTGTATATGTACACACACACACACACACACACACACACATATGAATGCTTTAGTTGATGGTTATTCAATTTTAAATGTCTATTAAAAACAACAAAAATAAAGGAACATACATCTCTTTTCTGATACAAGGACATATGAGGAGAAAGAGAGATATCAGCAAAGTCATATGCTCAAGTGAAAGATACACCTCATGCCAGCCAGCCCCAGGTTCTGAAACCTTTGAGAAGAGCTCCCTGTCCTATCTTGCGAAGGGGAAGACACTTAAAGGACTCTCATCTACCTTTTCTTCACTCACTCACTCACTCACTCACCTGGACAGGAGCATCTTGGGCCTCCTCCCTCAGGCCTCCATGGGGCTTCTCCTCTCTCCAACAGGGAGATCACATCCAGTTTGGAAACAGGAAGCCCTATACATAAGGAGAGAAGTGGAAAATTGCTGGGGACAGGAAGCTTTCTGCAAATTCCCCCTAGTCCCAGAAAAGAGGGAGGCTAGACAGCATAGAAGGTAGACAAGGGGACCTCTGAAGTATGTACCATTTTGTAATGTAAGGGAGGGTAGGTCACAGATCTAGTTCAGGCTTAGAAAGAAAACAAGTTCATTGAACACTCCCAACACTACGGGATTTGGCTCTCTCAAGCCATTAAACGTCAGACATTCATTAAGCATCTAGTATGCATGTGCCAGACACTATGCTAGATACTTCGGATACAGAGGAGAACAGAATCCCTCCTGGCCACGGTGAGACATGACAGGCAAACATCACGAAGATGTCACCAGAGAAAGAACAAGGATGGGAGAATCTCAAGGAGGGGGGTCAGGAAAGGTCCCAGGAAGGAGGTGGTCCCTGAGTTATACAATGGCCTCGGGGAGACAGGAGGTGGGAAGTCAAGGCCGATGTTGCTGGAGAGGTGACAAAGGGGAGTAATATGGCACCAGAGCCAGGCAGTCAGGAGCTTCTAGAAATGGAGGATGGTGGGATCAGACCTGGGATATCCTCTGGGCCTTCATTTTTAAATCTTTCAGCCAGTAAGTACTTATGTGTGTAAAGAGCTACACTAGAGAGATGTAAAGCTTAGCTGGCTTGCCTCGTAGGGCTTCCAGTCTAGGAAGAGTAAAATCCATGTAGAAATCTCTGAAGAAAAGGGGGAGGAAAGGTTTCCCAGAGGAAGTAGTATCCTAATCCCCTGAGATTATGGCAGAAATCTTTGACCTGAGGGTCCAGGGAGCAGAGAAGCTGCAGCCTTGGGGCTGGCACAAGGAAGCTACAGGATTGCCATTTATAACACAGGAAGACCTCTAACCTGGGAACCCAGAACAGAACCAGTCTGCCTACTGTCCATAAAGGAGTTAGGACTCTCCTGGAGGGATAAGCAGTCACTGAGTCACGGGGCAGCTCTGCTTACCCAAGGAGACCAGGTTCTCATAGTTCTCCAACATCACATCCCTGTACAGGGCCCTCTGGGCAGGATCCAGGCGGCTCCACTCCTCCTGGGTGAAGTCCACAGCCACGTCTTTAAACATCACCGATTCCTGAGTCAAACACATTCCTGCTTAACCAGAGCCACTCCTCCTAGTCTTTACTGCTTACCACTTTGTCCTAGGCTCTTATGGACAGCTTTTCTTTATTGCTCATATTCACCCTGAAAAGTCCCTTCCACAAGTAAATCTCAAGAAAACATGTCCTTTACCCCTAAGGCCCCAGACCAGGCTTCATCTCAGAGTTGAGGCACAACCCTAACATCAGCAATTGCTCCAGAAATAGTAATTCCTAGCAGCTATGTAATAGCAATCCCTCTCTACCATTAACCCACACCCTCTGGCAGATGGCCTTGGGGGAAACCAATCCCACAAGAGGCTGGTCACGCTCAGCATTCTCTCCATTCCCAACTGTTAATGGCCCTCTGCTCTCTCTCATAGAGGGATCACTGCTTCTCCACCCTATTGTGGAAACCTGGAACAACATGGTGTCCAAGTTATTAAAATACTGACGATGAACAATGGCAGAGGCCTGCTCTGTTCTCTAACACTCACTTCCATGGATCCATGACCTTTCTGATGATGGCAAATGAAGATTATAACCCACCCATGCCTTCTCAGGCCGGGTGATCCCAGAAAATACCCAACAGACTCATGCAGGAGCCTTTCTCCATGTCTCCTCCTCCTCCTGAGGTGTTTGTACAGCCTGGGGCTAGCCATCTTTTATCCCTTATTCTCCCTACAGGACAGGGCCACCTAAATTTCCAGTTACACTTGTCAAAGAAAAGAAAAAGATTTTCATTGATATCTTTTGTTTTGACATTGCCTAGATGTCCTGTTCTATGCTTCTTCCAACCTCACCTAGAGAACTATCCCTTATAACAAGGTTGTTGGGGTTTTTTTTCAATAGGGGAAGAGAAAAAGAAATTCAGCAAACTTAACAATGTATTGAAAAAATTAGACCTTATGTCCCATGTACTGCATCCATGGGCCCCCACCTCTGCAAAGGAATAGGGAGAAGAATCCCTTCTTTCATCTCCACTTTGACACCAAGCTTGTCTCCACAGTCTCATGATGGTCAGTCTCGACTGACCAGTGGTGGTTCTTTCTATTGACACTGTTGTTGTCATTGCTTACATTGTTTCCCCAGCTCTGCTCGCTTCATTTGGCATCCGTTCATATGACCTTTTCCATTCTTCTCTGTATTCAGCATCTTTGTTGTTTCTGATAGCGTAGTCATATCCCATTCCACATCTCCCCACTGATAGGCAGCTTTGTTTCCAATTTTTTGCTACCACAAAAAGTACTGCTATAAATATTTGGTAGCTATCCAGACTTCCTCATCAATGCTGTCTTTAGGATATAAGCCACTAGTAGTGAAATTTTTGGATCACAGAGTGTAGACATTTCAGTCATTTTATTTGCATAAGTCCACACTGCTTTCCAGAGTGACTGTCCTAATTCACAGAGACCCAATAACACATGCCTGCACCTGTCTTTTGACAACTTCTCCAACAAGGACTAGTCTCATCCCTGCCAATTTTCCGGGTGTGAAGAACTTTAGGGTTGTTTTGATGTGTATTTCTCTATTAGTCACATGAGGCATTCTTTCATTTGGTTGTTAGAATACTGAGATCCTTCTTTCAAAAACTATTTCTTCATCTCCTTTGACTACGTATCTCTTGGAGAATAGCTTTTGGTCTCAAACATTTCGGCTAATTTTCTGCAAATCTTGGACACCAAACCCTTACCTGAGAAATTTAATAAAGATTTTTTTTTCTTAGTCAACCACTTCCCTTCTTATTGCAGATGCATTAATTTTGCTTGTGCAAAAGATTTTCACGTAATCAGAATTATCTCTTTACCTTTTGCAACAGTCTCTATCCCTACAGTTTGGTTAAGAATTAAACTCCCAGCAGGCAGTTTTCAAAGGAAAACAATCAAAGCTATTAATAGTGACAGGGGCAGCTAGGTGGTATACTGGATAGAGTATACTGGAGTCAGGAAGAGCAGAGTTCAAATCTGGCCTCAGACACTTACTAGTTATGTGACCCTGGCCAACTCACTTCACCCTGTTTGCCTCAGTTCTTTATCTGTAAAATGAACTGGAGAAAGAAATGGCAAACCATTATGGTATCTCTGTCAAGAAAACTCCAAATGGGGTCACGGAGGATCAGACACTACTGATAACAACTCAACAAACAACAATAGGGACATGAAAAAAGCTCTAAGTCATTATTGATTCAGAAATGGAAATTAAACCTACTCTGATGTATCACCTCACACCTATCAGACTGGTTAAGAGTACAGAAAAAGAAAATGATAAATGCTGGAGGGGACGTAGGAAAACAGTTTACACTAATGCACTGTTGGCAGAGTTGTGAACTGGTCCAACCAATCTGGAGAGTACTTTGGAACTACACCCACAGAGCTATAAAACTACGTGTACTCTTTGACCCAGCAATATCACTAACCCAGAGTGTCTGTATCCTAAAGAGAGCAAAGGAAAAGGAAATATTTATATTTACAGCAGTTCTTTTCGTGGGGGCAAAGAATTAGAAACTGAGGAGGTATCCATCAATGGGCTGAACAAATTATAGCATATGAACGTATGGAATACTCAAGGGAAGCCTTGTATGAACTGATGCAAAGTGAAGTGAGAAGAACCAGGAGAACACTGTACACGTTAACAGCCACATTGTAATAATAATCAACTGTGAAAGACTGAGTGACTGGTCAACACAATAACCTACCACAATTCCAAAGGACTTATGATGAAAAATGCTCTCCACCTCCAGATGGAGAACTACTGGGCTCAGAGTGCAGACAGAATCATATTTAGTTCACTTTCTCCTTTTTCAGAAACAGTTAACGCAGAAATTTGTTTTGCATGACTATACAAATTTGTAATGGGTTTTATTTTTCTTGTCTTCTCAATGGGAGGGGTAAGGGAGAGGGAGAGAATGTTGAACCAAAAATAAAATAAAACTGAATTTTAAAAAAAAGTATAGACCTTGATTTTAGAATCTGTCAATATCTATTATGGAGACATTCTAGTTCTCATAATCTATAAGCGCGAGGTCATCTCTCAGAACAGCCAGAGGCTTCGAGGGTTAGATCCCCAAAGAAGACTGGAAGGAAAGGGTGCCGCTGAATAAAGGAAGATATGTATCAATACACTGAGAAATGACATGGTATACAATGTGACAAAAGAGAAAGAGAAAGTGAACTTGAATTCACCTGAAATGTGGCTGTGAGGAATCCAAAAGTCACACCCTCCTCAGCCACCTCCATGCTGCTGTCTTGGTGAAGGGCACGGCCTCGAGCTGGACAAGAGAAAGAAACCACGGGGAGACCAACTCTAAAGCCAACCTCCTAAACAAAGCCCTCAAGAGCACCCCAGATGTCTTCATCCAAGCCCATCTTCATCGTCACTCCCACAGCCTAGATCAGCCCTTTAAGGACCCCAGCTGCCACTCACTGCTAAACAAAGTTATGATGACATTTTTTGGACGTTTAGTCTTATAAATTCATTCTACCTTCAACTAAGACTTCACTCTGTCAGTCCTTTCTTTCAGGCACGGCACATAGTAGGCACTAAATAAATGCTTGTTAAATTTATAGATTAATTCAGAGGTCAGGAAATGCTAAAGTACCTGGACTGGGTAATGATATACCCTAAAGGTGAGCAAAGCCAGAAGGGGAAATAAAAGTTGCAGCTAGCAGCTATGGTTATCCTTTCCCAAGCTATCTCCCCAGCCCCCCACCCCAGACAGGATTCTAATCCCCCATCAGCACTTCTGGAATTCTTACCTTTCTCCCCAAGCATTGAGTCCAAGGCCACGTGGTCACCCATCCAATCCTCTCTGGCCAGCCAGGATGACTGCCACTTCTTCTGCCACCAGCAAGTAGTCCCAGGGGCTGCCCCTTCACCTCAAGAGCTGCCCTGGAACTCTGATTAAAGGTCTCAGGACAGGAACCTTCTCCTGTGCTGGAGACATTTTCCTGGAAGACATCGTCTACCACCTTCACCTTCTAGTAAAGCCGGGACCTGGGAACTCAAAAGCAAGATCGCTTCAACTGGGGCTCTTCCCTCTGGGGCTCATCTGAGAACTGTGTCTCTGGTACTACAGGCTGGGGGTCAACTAGGATCCTTTCCAATGAAATCAGGGTTTGTAAAACAAGGATGTCCAATGTCACCACTTCTATCTGACCTGGTACAAGAGATGCTGGCTATAGCAATAAGACAAGAAAGAGAAACTGAGGGAATGACTGTAGGTAAAGAAGAAACGAAATGATCACTTTCTGCAGATGATATGATGGCATTCTTAAAGAACCCTAGAGAGCCAACTAAAATTAATTGAAATAACTTCAGCAAAATTGCAGGATATAAAATAAATCCACATAAATTATTAGTTTCTATATAGTATCAATAAAACCCAGTGGGAAGAGAGAAATTCCATTTAAAATTACTACAGAATGTATAAAATACTTGAGAATCTACCTACAAAGTACACACAAGAATTATATAACTACAAACTGCTGCTTACAGAAACACAGACCTAAATAACTGGAACTGTAATTGTTCATGGGTATGATGAGTCGACATGATAAAAATGACAATTCTACCAAAATCAATTTACTTATTAAATGTCATATTAATCAGACTATCAAAGAATTACTTTATAGAAGTAGAAAAAATAAGAAAAGTTATATTGTGGCCAAAGAGGTCAAAAAAACACAAAGAAATAATAAAAAAAGGTGTGAAGGAAGGAAGCTTAACAGGACCAGATCTCAAACTATACTACAAAGCATTGATTCTCAAAATAATTTGCACTGGTTAAAAATAGAGATTAATCAGTGGAACAGATGAGGTATACAACGTACAGGAAAAAATGAACTTTTCACCTGGTTTTTGACAAATACAAATACAAATACAAAGACCCCAGCTACTAGGGGTCCTTAATAAAGTTCTTTAATAAAGGGGTCTAATAAGACTCACTATTTGATAAAAGCTGCTGGGAAAATCAGACAGTAGTATGGAAGAAATTGGATTTGGATGGACACCTCACTACATATACCATATACCAAGAAGAATTGCATATGTGATTTAGATATAAAAGGTCACATAGTAAACAAGTTAGAGAAACATAGAAAAAATTCTCTCTCAGCTCTCTGGATGGAAGAAAAGTTCATGACCAAACAAGGGATAGAGGGAATCACAGATGATAAAATGGATGATTTTGATTGCATGTTCCATTTGAAAACAAATCCCAAAACCTGAAAAAGTTTTAGAGAGAATTTTATTAAGTCACTTGACAGAGGAGGGTTGGCCGGCAAACACGGTAGTTCCCTTTCATCATATTGGCAAAGATGACAAAGAAGGAAAATAACAAATGTTGGAGGGGCTATGAAAACAAGCACATTGATGTACAGCTGTTGATGGACCTGTGAAATGGGTATAAACATCCTGGAAAGCAATTTAGAATTATATAAAGAAAGTGACTAAAAAGTGACCCTTTAACCCTTTACCACTGTTAGGACGACACCCCAAAGAAATCAATGGAAGACAAAAAGGTCCTATATGTACAAAAATACTGATAACAATTCTTTTTGTGGTGGCAAAAAAAACAAACAAAAACAAAAAAACCCAGAAATTAAAGGATACCCATTAGCTGCAGAATAGCTGAACCCACTGTGGCATATGAGTGGGATGGAATATTCTTGTGCTATAATAAATGAGGAACTAGATGATTTCAGAGACATGGAGAGACTGGCATGAACTGATGCGAGCACAGGAACTGAGCAGTGAGCTAAACCAATACAACGAGCTTCACCATAACATCAATATTACCAAAACAATTCTGAAGACTTTTATAAGATGAAGAGTGAATTGAGCAACACCAGGAAAATCACTTTTAAAACAGCAACACAGCAAAGACACCTTTGAGAGCTATAAGAACTAAGATCCATGCAATGACAATCCAGAAGAGCCAAGGATGGGGCAATGGGGGTTAAGTGATTTGCCCAGGGTCACACAGCTAGTGTCAAGTGTCTGGTCTAAGGTCACATTTGAACTCTGGTCCTCCCGACACCAGGGCTGGAGCTCTATCTACAGCGCCACCTAGCTGCCCGCCATGTTGTCTGCCTCCTGACAAAAAGGTGAGAGAGTCAGGAGGCAGAATGAAGCTTGTATTTTTTGAGCATGGGCAATGAGGGAGCTTGTTTTGTTTTGTTTTGTTTTCCAATGGAGCGGGAGCCGAGAAGAAAGGACAACAGATTTTGTTCAATTAAAAAAAAATCTTAACAAAAAAATAAAAATAATGAAGCACGATCCAATCATATTGCTGTCAATGAAATCTTAATAAACTGACTGCAAATAGGTTTTGCACCATTAAAAAAATGTGAAAATAAACTATTGTTTATTTCATCCTGTTTAAAGTTTTAATTCTTGGTTTGTTTTAAAATGTACAAGATATGTTAATAGTACAGTGTATGACCCATATATAAACACACACATTGACTGGGGGTGGGGGCAGAGCAGGAGGGTGGGAAGGGGGCAAGGAATCACAGCCCTGCAGTTAGACAGAGCCTGGCCATAAAAACAGGATGGTAATGAGTTTCATTCACTCATGAAAGAGTTAAGAAAAACCTACTGTGAGTCATTTACTGGGGAAAATAAGGCCTTATCGGCCCCCTGGAGGTGGGCGTCAGCCACCAGAAGACTAGTCATCGGGAGATGATTTTTTTTGGGGGGGGCACAGTAACGCACCAAGAAGGTCCACTATGGTGTGGAGGGGATATTATTCACTGCATCCACCTGCTCGCCCCCCCCCCAAACAAAGGCACAGGTCTATACAGCATTTTTCATTAGAGGGTGCACCCAGATATTTTTAAAAAGATGAACATTATTGATTCATTAATCATAAAGGATATTATTTTTATCCATAAACTAAGGAAACGGAAACTTAACTAACCTTTACTGTTTTAAAAATTAACAACTAAATCTGACTTTAAAAATATAAGCTTTGCCACAAACTAACTCCTTTCACTCAAACTCTTAACTTAAAATTCAGACCACTTCCCTCGCCTCACCTTCCTCCCTCACCCTCCTTCCAGTCACCCCCACTGCAGGCTACCTCCTGTCCCCCGGCCCCCCACCCCGGTGGAAACAGATCCAGGACCCGAGGGCCGAAGAAGGAGCCCCGGCCCCCACCCGGCCCTACTTCCAGACCAGACCCCGATGCCATCACTGAGGGGAGCTATCACTCCGGAGAAGGGGCCCACCTTTTTCAACAACACCGCCATCAACGGCCACAAGTGGCAGTTGAGACCAGGAGCCTCCCGGAGTGGAGCAGCCCCTCCCTGCCCCGCCCCGATCCTGCCTCCAGCCCCAGGAGACCCCGTCCAGGTGCTGAGACCCAGAAAGGAGGCTCGCTCCACCAAAGCTCCGCTGTAGCCAATTGGTTCCCCATCAGGGACCCGCACGGTTTTCTCGGAGGGAATGACATTCAGGAGGCTGCATCCCGAGGTCCGGGGACCCTTCCATCCAATCCCCGCTGGGTTGTCTCCCCCATTAGAAGGGGAGCAGGTCTTCTACCGGGTCCCCAGCGCTGAACAGGCTTTGCACATTGTAAGCGCTGATGCAGGCTCCATTCATTCACTCATTCCCCTGCCCCACCCCGGCATCGGGAGTTCACCCACTGGGGAACAGAGACTCTCCTTCGAAAGCGTAAAATGCTGGGTTCTGCCTTCGCTGCCCCGCCCCATCCCCACAGAGCCCCGGGACTCACAAGGGATCGCGGCTTCGGCCCTGGACAGAAGGCTCCCTGGGTCCGGCCGAGATGCCCCCGGGGGGCTGAGGCATTGATTGCCCCAGGAAGCATTTCCAATCACCCCAAAACTAGGGGCACCTGAGATGGGAGCGTGTGGGAGGCCGAGACTGCGGTGACCAGCAACCAGGAGACGTCCAGGTAACCCCTGCTCCCTGCAAAGGGGCAGGGCGTGTCTGGGCACAATCGCCCACCTCCCCAGTAGTCTCTCTCAACCGCACTTGGAAATCCACACAGCCCCCACCTCCCTCTCACTCACGGCCCTCCTATCCGTGCTCAGATGGATTCAACGATCAAGAAGCATTTATTAAGCGCCCACGATGGCCAAACACTGCGAGGCATTGGGACTACCAGGACAAACGTGAAAACGGTCCCTGTCCTCAAGGGGCTTACTAAGGAACACAGGCGTGTGCAAGAGGGACGGGGCCCTGGGAGCGGGTAGGGAAGGGGATGCTGGAGCCACGGAGGAGCCCCCGGTCCTGGGAGCAGGGAGTGAGGAGGGGGAGTATCCCGGGCCAAGGGGCCTGGAGGGACGAGGCACGATCGGGACCTTCCCAGAGGTCCGGCGGGGCCAGTCTGGGAAGGGCATTGAACGCTACCCCAAGAATCGTTCCTGTCGGATCCCGGAGGGGACAGAGTTCTGAGCAAGGAGAGGGTCCGGCTTGGATTTGGTGTGGGGCTCCTCCCATAGCCCCCTAGGCAGATGACACCCTGCAGGGATGCTAGTGCACGCAGCAGGAGTGGGGCTTCTGAATGGGGATGACCCGCGACACCCCCCCCCAAACGCATCCGCCTAAGGTCCGCCAGAAGGCCGCGGAAGGGGGGGGGGGCTGGAGCTCTGGAGAGAGGGGTCGGGGTCACCAGCCCGGCAGGAAAAGAGGGCACCCACCGCGAGGGCTGGACGCTGCGTGAACCCCTCCCCTGGTAAATGCTCCATCGGTTCCAGCTCCAATGCAGCCGAGACTGTGGGGTCAGGGGAGCGGGGGCAAGAAGCCACCGGTGTAGACAGGAGCCCCTCCCAGGAAAATGGACCCATGGGCGAGGGCCACAAGAGTGGGTCAGTGGGAGAGGGGCCAGGCTGAGGGAGGGGGCAGGTTCAGAGACACGAGTGACGGGGAGGGGTGTCTGGGCCGGAGGAAGAGGGAGGGCTTCCAGGGCTTAGGGAGGGACGAAAAGGTTGCAGGAGGTCGAGGAGGGGAGGTCAGACCCACGCGTGGACACACCCACGCACCAGCACCTCCAGCACAGGCTTACACCTGCGCGCGCGCACACACACACACACACACACACACACACACACACACACACACACACAAAAACACTCTCCTCAGACACGCACACATGTGCACACACTGGCACACGCGGGTGCGTATGGATGTACGTGCCGCGCCTGCGCACTCTCTCAGTTTCCCCCTTTCCCCTCCCCCCAGCCTCGGCCCTCGGACCCGCGCCGCCCCGCAATCCAGCCCTCACCTGACAGACTGTGGGGCCCCCGCTCTCCGAACCCCAAAAGGACTACTCCCACAATGCATCGGGCTAAGGGGAGGGGGCCGAGTCAAGCCATGGGGTGGGAATGGAGAGAGGTGAGTCTCCGGATGCATTCTGGGAAATGGAGTCCAGCTGCGGGAAGGCGGCCTGGGCGCTCTCTGCGCATGCGCGGTTCCAGACCCTCCTGCCCTCTGCGGGAGTCTGCGCCTGCGCCCTGGGCGAGGTGGGCGGGGCGGTGCGGCGCGGCCTTGGCAATCTTGCCCACAGATGTCGCCTTGGCCTCGACCTCGTTCTTGCTCTGCCCCCTCCAGGGCCTGTTTCCAGTGGAGACATATGTGTATTTCATATGTAGACATGCGTGTGTAGATATGCACACACATGCAGTCTGCATGCTGACTCTAACCGGACTTGCGGTCTGATAAACCCCCCAGAACTTTTTCAAAAGAACTAGTTGTCCAGCTATGCCTCCCCCACCTTGTATTGCTGCAACTGATTTTTTCCAAATAGAAATGCTGGGGACCAGAGTAAAATGTAATTGGCAAGTATTTTTTAAAAAATGAATAAAAATACCATAGAACAAGATAATACTACATTTTCAAACTGTCAGTGTGCTCCAGACCACTGGTGTCAAACTGAAATAGAAACAGGGGCATCAGTTCTACATAAGGCTCCCCAGGGACTGCATACTGACTTAGAAACCCACGTATTAACATTGTCTATGGCCTATTATATTTTTATCGACTTTGTTAGATATTTCCCAATTACATTTTAATCTGGTTTGCCCGAGCTCTGAAGTCAATCAATAAACATTTATGAAGCACCTACTACGTGCTAAGCATTGGCTTGGAGGTAGGTAACCCAGTGGCCATTTGATGCCTCTGCAGATTTAGAGGACCCTTCCCTACACGTGACAGAAGTGGAGAGAGATTCCTGAGGGCTGAGATCAATGCTGTCCTCACTGGACATCCTGGTTAATCTCCTCCTCTGCTAGGGCCAGGTAGATCTCCTGGCGGGAACCATCAGATCTTCCTCCAGAGTTCCATTTCATTCCAATATGGAAACCAAAACTACTAGGAAGGACCTGAGCTATTCCTTTCCTACGTTTGCGGATCTTCATATAGGCCTACCTAGTTCCCAGTGACCTCAGGCTGGGCATGGGCAGTTCAGGGGAAGGTGGGCTCTAGCTGGCCTTGCTGGTGATGCCTCAGACCATGATGGCCACTTACCTGAGACATCCCCATGCCCTCAGGAGATTGTACAGCAAGCTGGCCATGACCATTCAGCAACCAGAGGTAGATGGCAATGTGAACTGTACTCTGAGGAAAACTCGCCAGCTGCCCCTTCTTGGATTGGTATGGTTTTTGTATCCAAGTTCACCAGTTGGGAGGTTGTCCTTGGTATAGATCCTTGCACTGGGACAGGCTGCCCGAAGAGTTAATAACCTCTGCTCTGCCTTATTACTGTGAGGGGAGAAATAGCTCCTCCCTGAGTTCATGTGGTCAGTAACTGCTGCTCCCATACGTATTCCCCACAACACGGAAATTCAAAGGTAGAAACCAAGCCTTTTAGTATTCTGCTCGAGCATAGGTTCAGGCCTCAGAGAATCGCTGAACCCCTATTAGGAGTCTCACAAGCCCTCTTCTAGGCAAAGTGACGTCAGAGTGACAGAGAAGTCATTCATTTACATGTTGTGATCTTGTACATTCCTCTCAGGCCAGGAAAGGTAAAGAGAAGATAGATCTGTAATCCCATGCTTCCTCCAGTGTCATGAAAGTGGAAAAGACTTACACCCCTAAGGAGCCAAGCTGCCTCAAACAAACTTGATAGGTAAACGAAGTCAGGTTGCCGAGTAGACCGTACCTGGAGGGTTTCCCATCAGCTGATTGAGGAAGAGGATCTGCATGTCGCCAAGGAGGCAGGAACCGTAGAGAGGCTTCCTCTGGCTGCTTCTCTAAGGAATATTTAAGGCTCTGGGTCAATTTTCACACCCCTTGGCACAGGGTTTGATCAGGTGAGGTTAATGTAAAGACAGGCTTTTAGTGAACCAAAGATTGCCGGAGGAATGGCCCTGAGTCTCAAATAATAAAAGGAAAATCAAAAATTCCCATTGCATTCCAGATGACCTTGGCTCACAACGAGGATCGGTGACCGCGCGTGAAATGTCATTGCTTTCCTCGTCGCCCCAATCTTTCTGGTGCTGCTGCTCACGGTCACCTCTTAGTACTAAGAGGCCAATTATGCAACTAGCAACGATTTACTATCCACAGCATGGTGCAAACCATCCAGATCTGCGACTTGGGCCTTCCATATTCTTCCTTCCATTTAGGGGGCCTGTATGAAGGAAAGGACCCATAGATTCATGGCCATTTGGGATAATAATTTTTCATCTATTTTTAAATTTTTATTATTTGGGGAGGGGAGTTGGGGTCATTTCTCCTATTGTGAATCCTTCTAAGTGTAATTTAATCTGTAAGCTGACTTAGTTTACCTATAGAGTTAGTTTGATGAAGTTAGGAGGTTATCGAACTGGCTGAAACCTGTCCTATGGGATGTGAAAATTTACTTAAGGCCTCAAACATCCCTCAGATAAGAAGCTACAGGAAGGATCCCAATTGTCCTCAGTTGCTTGGTTGTGTTGGTGACAAGTAAATCTCCCCTCTCAAGCAGCCCATTGTGAACTCTCCAAATGTAGTTTAATCAGTAACTTAACTTAGTTTACCTGTAGAGTCTGTTTAGGTTTGTTTCCTTAGGGGATATATGAGCTTCAGATTCTGCTTAATGAAATTTGTTCAACTTTTATGACTTTGAAGGAATCGTGGGATTTTGAATGTCTTTTTTTTTTAACTTTCATAGCCTAAAAGAATGTATGAGATTGCAATATTTAAAGGAATTATTTCTCTGTCACTCTGACAAAATTTTGTCTCTAAGAAGCCTTCTTAGAATCCTAATCTTGGTTCAGGGGTTATTTTTCTGTATCCCCTAGGTTCTTAGTACTAATTTTGGTGTGTTGGTAGCTTTATTTCAGCATCACTAACCTTCCACAAGAACTCAAAGAGGAGCTATGTCTCCCATAACACCATCAGAACAACGCAGGCAGCTCTCAGAAGAGGAAAGGGCTGCCTCCTCAAGCCACTTGTTAGGTAGGTTAAAGTAGAGATGCCCTCTATGAATGGGCTGGTCCACATGGCGGCAGTGTCCGGGTCCAACTCCTACAGTCTGGGACTCTGATGCTTTTACTTCATTTGAGCCCATTTAACACATGTTGGGAGGAGGGATGGTGAGTCATTAGAACCTTTATATTTTAATTCAATGTCTAGTACTTAAATACTCAGAGATCCCAAATCTCACCTGCCCAACTACCCTAGCTACGAATATCAGAAATGTTATGGGATGGGATTCATGCTTCATTCTCTAAAGTCCCTTCCAACTATCCAACAATGATACAATTAGATTTTAATTAGTTAATTTAATAAAATTAATTAAATTAGATTTCAATTTGCCAACATTGTGTGCAGCCTGAGAACCTTTAAACAAGGATTAACCTGGGGTCCATAAACTTTTTTTAAAAAATATTTTGATAACTGTATTTCAGTATAATTGGTTTCCTTTGTTATTGCACTTAAAAATTTAACTCTGAAGTGGGGCCCACAGAAGGAGTTCACAACACAAAAAAAGTGAAGAAGCCCAGGGGAATTCCTTTCAAGAATCTCCTTCCTTGTGTGCTTTGGATTCACAGTTGTGATCTGTCAGAGATGATTTCCGTATTTTTTTTTAAACACAAGCGGTCTTACGATGAACTACATTCCAATTCTTTGAAGAAGGAAAACTTCCAATTGGTGCTTCCAGAAGTGACGTCTCCTTTCCTTAGCCCTTTGCCTTTGGAAAGAGAGCCACCTCTTTATACCACTGACAGAAGCCCATTCAAGCCAGACTGCTGAATCAGCCGAGAGGTAACTTTTGAGATAAAAACTGGGACGGACCTCAGGGGAAAAACAAAGGTACAATTTCTCGGATTTCTAGACTCAAATGCACAGGCTTGAGGACTAAGGCTTAACCTCTCAAAAAGAAATATATGGATGGAAAAACATGAGGAAGGGAGAAAGCATATTTTAGTAATTCTATTCAATTCACCCTTGCTATGAAAATAATGAGAGATTGTTTCCATAAAGAGATTTAAGGTTTTAGCAACCATTGCTTACTCAGCAAGCTGCCAGAAATGTATTGTCATGGTCCATCTGCTGGTTTGTTTATAAGGGAGGATTCTGTGATGTGAGTGTTTGAGGGGATACAGTGTCATTAGGGAAGGGGTAGGAATGTAAAAAGCATCAATAAAAAAGTTTTAAATTAGTTTTAAAGAAATGCGTGGATAGTAATGACAGTCTCTTTCTCACCTGTTGGACAGCTGCCATTTGAGATTTCCAGGGAAGATGAAATTCAGCATTGTCAGCCAGCTCTTCCTCTGCCTGCTGATGGGGGCTTTCATAGGTGAGTTGGCTTCTGAGAACGCTAACACATGGGGTGGTTAGAGGCAGAGTGAGTAAAGCTCCTTACTTGGAGTCAGGAAGACTCAGCTCAAATCTAATGGCAGATTTTCAGGAGCTTTCTAAGCTTGGGTGAGGCACCTAACCACTGGGAGCTTCAGTTTTGTCTTGGGCAAAGCCATAACCATAACAGCATCTACCTTGGGGCTATTGGGAGGATTGCTGATCACTGGCTGGGAAGGACCTTAGGGTGCCTGCTGTGAGCCAGTGACTGGTTATGCTGAGATAACTAAGATAAAAGAAGCAGAGCCTGCTCTCAGAAGCTTATGTTGAAAAATGATTTTTTTAAAATATAAAGATCATTTTAGATTTACAGATGAGGAAACTGAGTTCCAGGGAGGCTGGTAGACTCCTTGGTAACTTTCCCAAGGTCACGGAGGTAGGTCGTCTGACTCCAGCTTGGGTGTTTTTTCTACTCAAATGAAAGAACGTGCATGAACTGCTTTGAGAAACCTTCAGAATACCATATTTGTGCCACCTGTTGCCTCTTTACTCTAAAAAGTGCTGTGGCAGGCTTCCCTGCTCTTTCTAGCTGACACATCTATGTTAATTCCCATTTTGGGGCCTCCCAACATCCTTGGCCTTTGCACATGAAGGATTCTTTCTGGTGGCTCCAGAAGCTGACACAGAGCTAGCTGTCAGTCATGTTCTTACCCTTCCTGTAGACTCCCCCCTTCCTCTCCCCCCAAGTGATGTATTTCTTCTTTATTTGTAGGTGCCAAGCCAGTCCAGGAGGATGGAGGTAACGGGATGATTCTCACTTCTTACATCTCTCTGTGTGAATGTTTCTTAAAAAGACAGAATTAGAAAATGGGTCAGGGGTGATGGGGCGGTGAGGAGGAAACCTAGGAAGGGGGAAACATTCCATCTTATTTTAGGCAGATGGAAATAGTGGCCATAAATATATTAAGTGGCTGTGTGCATTGTCATTGGTGTCTAGAATCTCTAGGCTGCCCCACCAGACTTCAGGTTGGGAAAGCATGAGTCTCTGGGGGACTCTCTAAATAAAATGGCTGATATGTGTGAAGAGCCGGGGCCCTGGAGCAGGAAGCATGGGGGAGGGGAAAACCTGGCCAGGGCCAAAGTTGGCCTGTGGTGCCCTCTGTTTCCTGTCTCTTTGGCCGCCATGCTGGCTCCCCTCCAGTGCTAGGGTAGTATGGAAGAAACACCAAGTTTGGAGCGCGAGGAGCCGGGTCCAAATCCTGCCTGGTACCTTGAGCAAACCACTCTAATTGCCTGGGTCTTGGTTTCTCCATCTGTCAAAGAGGAGGGTGAGACTCAGTGGCCTCTGAGGTCCCTTCTAGATCTAGACTTCTGTGGTCCTTGGGTTCCTCATTCCCATTCAATGTCCTCTTATAGCTGACAGCGTGCTAGAAGTGGTAAGGATGCTTAACTGGGAGTCAGGAGATGTAGGTCTGAGCCCAGCTCTGAGACTTACTGTGCTGCCTGTCACAGGCAAGTCAGTCAATGTCTTTGGGACACACTGTGCTCCTCCGTGAAATGGGGATGAAGATATCTATACTACTTTCCTTACTGGAGAGGAAACACTTTGCAAAAACTCCCATGGCCAGAGAAATGTGTGTTTTTATCACAGCCTCATTTCTCAGTCTTCTAAGTCATATCATGGTCCAGTAGAAAGAGCACTGACTCGGGTCAGAGGAACTGGGTTCAAATCCCACTCCTGGCAATGGCTGTATGATCTTGGGCAAGTCACTTCATTCCCTTGGGGCTCAGTTTCCCCATCTGTAAAATAAGAGGGTAGATTAGGAGAGGTCGTTTCTAATTCTAGATGAATGATTCAAGTGTTAGGGACTTGGCTGGCTCTTCCTTCTAGAAGAATTTATGTTTTAAAAGAGGGGCCCAGAGGGAACAGCACAAAGAGCAAAGACATGAAGCATTAATGGTGGGATTTAGGCACGAGGCTTGGCGGATTTCAGGGCGAGAAAGCTTTTTTGGCCCAGAACCTGAAGCCAAAGAAGTCACAAAAAGTAAGTGGTTAAGCAATCAATGAAGCATCCAGGTGGTGCAATAGACAGAGCACCAGGCTTGGAGTCGGGAGGACCTGAGTTCAAATCCAGCCTCAGACACGTACTAGCTGTGTGGTCCTGGACAAGTCACTGCACCCTGTTTGCCTCAGTTTCCTCATTTGTAAAATAAGTTGGAGAAGGAAATGGCAAACCACTCCAGTATCTCTGCCAAGAAAAACCCAAATGGGGTCACAAAGCATTGGATGCAACTCAGCAACAAGGATTAATTAAATCTTATACTGGTCTAGATACCAGGGGTACAAAACCCAAAATGAATCCATCTCTCTCCTGGGAGAGCTGACATTCTAGGCATTAATAAGGTTGCACAGAATATGTGCACAATACATACAAGGTCATTTTGGGAGCAAAGACTCCAGGGCTGAGGGCATCGGGAAAGCCTTCATGAACCAATAGGTGCTTGAGCTAAATCTTAAAGGAATCAGGGGATTCTAAAAGGCAAAGTGAGAAAGAACGGGACTCGTGGCCAGAATTCCAGTTACTACTTGGTCCCCTCGTGACCCTCCCTGGTCTTGGTTGAGTCAAAGGAGGAGGTGAAAGCCCATGGTGCCTAAGCTCCCTCCCAGCACTACACCCCAGAAAGCCGGTAAGAAGTTGAGTTAGGGTGGATTGACCCCCACGGACTAAAGGCCCACGGCCGCTGATTTCCCATGATTGCATTCAGGACCGGCTGCAGCTGTCCCTGCCCCCTGCTTGAGCGCGTAGCCGGGACAGCGCGGGAGGGAGCCTGTAAATAAACCAGCTCTGGTCACGCGGGGCCCGCGGGGTGCGTCCAGCAGCAGGTTTCCCGGCGTGGCCCTCTCCCCGTTACAGTGCAGCTACTACAGCGCAGCTCCCTTCAGGAATAAAGATTTTCTTCTTTGAGAATCGTTTGCTTTGCCGAATGCCAGCCCCCGGGCGCTTCTCTAAAGCGAAAGGTCAGCAGTTTCTGCTTCCCGTCCCAGACCACGGGGCCCAAGTGCTCTGTCCTGGCTTTGTGTATCTCCCTTCCCTGGAGACTGTGCGGCAAAGTGGGGGCGCTTAGTTAGACAGAACCAGCTCGGTTTCTTTTGAATGTTGTGAATTTTAAAGGACTTGGCAATCCCATTTGGGCTTCTCGGTATTAAGTTACCTCGTTCATTCATGGGGAATTACAGCCCTAGGTGAGAAGTGCTATGAAATGAGGGGACTATGCATGAATCGATGGCCAACAGCTGCTCCTTGGGTCCCTCCACTGTGGCCAGACCTACTCTTGAGGGATCTGGGCACACGGAGGTTAAGGAGCATACAATTAGTGAGTGTCTGAGACGGGATTTGAACCCAGATCTTACCAACTTCAGGTAGAGTGCTCTAGCCACCATCCCTTACCACCTCATTGCTCACATCTACCTTTTGTTTCTATGAAAGCCGTTCTCTAGATGGCTGGTTCTGACTCCTCTCCATTGTGACAGAAGTGGCTTCCTCTGTGTTCGCCTGGTTCCTTTTTCCATCCTCAGAGGAGGCAGAGGTTGGCTACCCTCCTGTGATCAGATTCCATATTGTTTAACCTCAGAGTCCAGTGGCCTTTTCTGAAACATCTCCTAGGGCCTCAGAGATCCTCTAGGTCAACCCCCTCATTTGACAACTGAGGAAACTGAGGCTTGCCCAAGGACACAGAGGGAATGCGCATCCAAGGTGGGGTTTGAACCCGGGTTCTCCCATTCCAGTTAACAATCTTTCCTCTCTACCATACTGCCCCCAGGAGGCCAGATCCCAAAGCTTTGAAAACACCCAGCAACCTCCCTCATACCTTTGGACGCCCAAGTTAACTTTGGGCAGGGATAACAGGAAGGTCGTGCATTCATTCCTTGTCTCTGTTCCTTGAGATTAAGACCGATTTATTTTTTGTTTCTGTATCCCTAGCCCAGACTAACACAGGCCTAGCACACAGCAGGCACTTAATAAATGCTTGGTGGTTGATCTGCTGACCAGTTGGTGATCCTGCCCAAGTCCCACCAGCTGAGGCACCTCTGTGAGCCTCAGTCTCCTCCACTGTAGAATGACCTCTGGGATCCCTGCCAAGTCCAGATAGATGAACCCATGGCCCTTCAGAGATCACTGAGGCTCCACGCCATCAGGCACCTTCTGCTCATTCCCGCTCTGCACCTCTGTTTGTGTGGCTGGTTCCCTCCTCTCTCCATCCAGACCCTTCTATTTCTGAAGATTTGAGAGCCTCTCACCAGGGGCAATTAGGTAGAGATTGATGTGTTAGACTCAGAGTCAGGAAGCTCTGAATTCAGATCCTACCTTAAACATTTATCAATTGTGTGACTCTAGACAAAACACTTGGGCTCAGCCTCAGTTTTCTCATCTGTACAATGGTGGTAACAATAGCACCTACTTCCAGGGGTCCTGTAAGGATGAAATGAGATGTGTAAAGTACTTTTCAGACTAAAGGATTATAGACATATTAACTATTATTTTTATTCTCTCATGTCCCATGGCCCTTCTTGCTTGGACGACACGTACAAGCGCTCAGTCATATTACATTTTGTGTTGTTCCTTTCTTGTGCCACCCATGTAGGTCTTCTGTTGTTGTTGAGTCATACCTGACTCTTTGTGATGCTATTTGGAGTTTTCTTGGCAGAGATGCTGGAGTGGTTTGCCATTTCCTTCTCCAGCTCATTTTACAGATGAGGAAACTGAGGCAAACAGGGTGAAGTGACTTGCCCAAGGTCACACAGCTAGGAAGTGTCTGAGGCTGGATTTGAACTCACAAAGGTGAGTCTTCCTGACTCCAGGCCTGGTGCTCTGTGCACTATGGTGCCCCCTACTGCCCCTTGTGGGTCTCCTCTCTCCCAACTCTGGGAGCTCCAAATAAGGCAGAATAGTGTCTTCTGCCATTGTGCCCACAGTCACAACAATTCCTATTTTGACAACCACACATCGAGGTCTGCCCCCAAGTTAGGCCGTGTAAGAAGTATTGTGCCAGGGCAGCTAGTTGGCACAGTGGATAGAGCGCTGGCCCTGGAGGGGGGAGGATCTGAGTTCAAATCTGGCCTCAGACACTTGACACTTACTAGTTGTGTGACCTTGGGCAAGTCACTTAACCCCATTGCCTCACCCCCCAAAAAAAATTGTCCCCATTTCACAGATGAGATCACTGAGGTTCAACAAATGAAGGTGATGTTTCTGAAGTTATACAACTACTAAGTGTCTCAGACTCAGGTCTTTTAACACCAAGAACAACGTCCTTTCTGCCAAATCAAAAATTATTCTAAAAAGACCTGCTGCCCTAGATCCGTGGCACAGGGACTCAGAGGGCCTGGGTCTGAATCCGGCCTCTGCCCCTTACTGTCACCCTGGGCAACCTCTCTGGGCCTCCATTTCCTTATCCGTAAAATGGGGAGATTGAGCTAAGAGGTCCCTGATGTCTCCTCTCCATTCAAGATGCCTTGGCATGATCTCTTCTGGGTATCTAGCCTGCTGCGGAGTGGGGCCAGCTGGGGGCAGGGTGCATAGTGTGTGGGACTGGGAGCCAGAAGACCTGAGTTTGAATCCTGCCTCAAGTACTTCCTGGCTGTGTGGCCGTGGGCAAGTCGTTGAACGTCTCTGGGCTTCAGCTTTCTCAGCTTTCTCACCTTTCCCACCTGAGGATAACAACAGCACCTACCTCTTAGGGTTGTATGAGGATCAAATATGTGTAAAGAGCTTTGCTATAGGATTGTTAGCTATTATTGTTATTTTCTCTTTCCACTAGATCCCTTCGCAGAGCTGCCGGCCTTGCCCTACTGGCCTTTCTCCACCACAGACTTCTGGTCCTATTTCGAATACTTCCAGACGCTGGGAGCCTACCATCAGATCAATGATCTGGCCCGGACCTTCTTTGCTCATTTTCCCCTGGGCACCACCCTGGGTTACGATGTCCCTTACCAGGAAGACTGAATCTTTTTCCAGGCTCCCTAGAACAGAGACCAAGGAATTTCAAGCCAACGGGTCAATTTCCTTTCCTCCTAAAATGCACGACCAGAACATAAACACTTAGTAAACACTCGATTAAATAGAAACAATGCTTCTAGAGGGGGACCCCCGTCATTAGTACAGTGCTATTTTCCTCTCTATAAAGCTCCAAATAACATTAGTGTTGATTTCTTGGAGCAATCTTTGTGCTAAAATATTAATAAAGACATTTTGAATGGACTATTGTATTGCGTTTGTCAAGGGTGAAAATGTGATCTGGGAAACCCTAAAAGAACAAAGAGGCCACCAACGGGCAGCTCGGTCTTAGTTATTCTGATGGAAGTTTAACATAGGGAGGACAGGAGCGGGGAGTCCCACGCTCTCCTGCCCTGGTCAGACTAACTCTGGAGCAGGGCGCTGCGATCTGTCTGCCCCACCCTGAGCGATGCCAGTGAGCCCCACCAAGTTCGGAGGAACGTGAACAAGATGGTGAGGGGTCTAGACAGCAGGTCGGATGAAGAATGATGGAGGGCAATCCGGGACGCTTAGCCTTAAGAAAAGACAGAGGTATTACAGGGATATAGAACTGAAAGGCTATTTGTAAGTGTAATCAGTCATTCTGTTTAGACAGCAGAATGAAGGGAAATGAAGAGGGTTGTGTGGGGTGGATTTTGGCTCAATGCAAGGAACTTTCCAGCAATTAGAACCATTCCACCAGAGCCAGGGCTTGTACATCAGTGGCATAACCTTGGAACGCTGAATCACTGCCGTGTCCCAATCAGCCACCGAAGAAGGGCTGCTGCCAGAGGTTGTGAGGTCCTCGTCACTGGAATGGTTCAAATAGAAGTTTGAGCGTGTGTCCTGCACCTTGTGAAGCAGACTCTTGCATTGGAAAGAGATTGGAACAGAAGAAGCAGGATGGTGCCTCAGACAGGGTGCTGATTTGGGCTCAGAGGACCTGGATTCAGATCCTGATCTGATGTTAGGCTAATTACCTAAATTTTTTGGGCAGGAGAGAGGGGAAAGCTACATTGGGACATGTAGGTAAAACAAAATAAAATCAATCAAAATGGATTAAAAATGAATAAGTGCTTTTGGCCATCCCCTCATGACATGACCTCAGATGATGCCTTTGGAGGACTCTCAGTCTCGGGTCTCACGGGCATCTCCTTTGAAGACCTGAAAGCTTTAATTTAGCAGAAGTGGGGGTGATGTCGCAGGCAGCGGTTTTAGGGTGGCTGGTTTTTGATCCAAAGGAGACTCTTTCTGGCTTTCTCTTTTTCTTATGAAAGTCATAGAATGTATCAAAGGTTTTCCCTCTTGCATTCCTTTTGAGAAGACAGTCGATTGGCTTGATTTCTGACCGTGCTTTTATTAATGAAGACAGCAAGTAAATAGTTAAGCAAAAGTCAATAGTAAAGAAGACAAGAGTCCATAGTCCTCGAAGACTGGGTTTGCAGTTTAAAGTCTGGAAATCATTCTTCGGTTGCTTCTATTCATCTCTATATACCATGAGAGGTGACATGTTAGAGTCCAAAAATACCCACATTTTTTCCACTAAGGTTTTCTTTGGCTACAGCTTCTGCTTCCTGCATCTCCTCTCATTACCTGCTCAAGCATTTCAATTTAATCAGACTTCAATAACACTGAGAAATTTAGGGGCAAAAAGTCTCTGATGTAACTTGATCTAGCTTCTAAACTTACTTTTTGTCTCCCCATCTCCCCTCTACAGTATCTACAAGCAAGCTATAGCTGCTTAATTACAGCCCAAGCTTAGGGAAGACATGAACCATAAAGACTTCAAATTTCAGGAACCCACAGCTCACTTAGGGAGGTGCTTTGCCAAGGCTAGAGGGGTGAGGCTTGGCCAGATCTCCAAGGATGCGTCTCATGCAGAGTAGAGAACAAGGAGGCTAGCTATAGTAAAGAAGCCAAACAACTTTCCCCCCTTCTCCTAAAAGTCTTTTATTTGTTTATGGTTTTATAAATGCTCACTCTGAGGATCAAATGATTTACATATGTAGAGCACTTTGCAAACTTTAAAACAGTATATAGATGTCAGCTGTGTTCTATATATGTGTGATATAGCTACATATTTATAAACACTCACATTCAGCTGTAAGTGCCAAAACTGATGCCAATGCCCAATACCATTACTTCTGGATTGGATTAGCTGTGACACTGTGCCCATTCACTGGTGCAGATGACAAGAGATAATGCCTAACACCTTAGAAATTGTTTACATCTCTTTCTTAAAGTATAACTGTTAATTTTAAATTTTATCACTGGGGATATATACAATTCTGTGTGGTGACTCAGAAACAGAAATAGTAAATGGTAGAGGTTTTATTTTTAGGTTTTCAATATTTACATATGACTCATTTTTTGTGTTTTCTTGCAACGTTTAACTCATTGGCTAAGCAGGAGGCAATATGGAACTTTAGATGGCCTTGGAAGCCACTGAAAATGACAGTTTATGCAGATTTCTTTAACAGTAATGATATTATAATTTGGGATGACATTTCTTCTTAATAGTTCATCAAGTCCATGTTACATGTTTTTGTGATATTGGAAATCTGGACCATAGGATAGTTCAGATACCCATTTACAGAATAAAATAAGGTAAAGGAAATCACACTCTCCTTCCCTGCAGGGACGCCTTTGACAGCTGCAGCTTCCTCAGGGACCTCTGAGACAGCCCTCCTCTGATGGCTGATTGGGACACAGCAGTGACTCAGTGTTCCAAGGTTATGCCACTGATGTACAAGCTGTGGCTGATCTCACCTACCAAAATGAGCGTAGCACAGAATGCTTGTCATCCAAGGACCAGCCAGAGAGCTCATTCCCAGAAGGCTGCTTAGCAGCTAGCTTTCTTTAGACTACAGCACCTCAGGAAGATTAGCTAGTAAGGCATGAAGGGGTCACAGTCTTCTTTAGAATACACACAAGGATGAAATCACAGATCTTGGGAAGGAATCAGATTGAGATTTTCACCAAGGATAGCCGCTGACCTTGGGTTCCTCTCTGTACTGTGCCACAGAACTAGAAACAATATTTGTTTTGACTGTCATACAGTCATTATAACATCCCAGGATATATAGAAAAGAAAATCCTGATCCAAATTATGTTCCTTGTGGTGAGGGATTAATTTAATTCCTAGTACCCAGGATAATAAAGACTTTTCACTTTCATGAGGCAATAGTGAATTCTGTTGTGAGCACATCCACAAAGCACATGCTTTATGGGCCACAGAAGAAGGCTTTGAAGTAGCCTCCATATCAATCAATTAGTCAACATTTATTAAGCACCTACTATGTGCCAGGCACTGTGCCACCCTCAAGGAGCTTACAGTCTAATGGGGGAGATAACATGCAGACAAATATATACAAAGCAAGTTATGTACAGAATAAAAATAATTAAAAGAAGGAATAAAGTTTGTTGGAATAGAATTTGACCTGTACTGTTGCTTTTGAAAATCAAGAACCACAAAGACCCTTAAGTGGGTTGAGCTAGTAATTAAATAAAAAAGCAGCTAAGTAGTGCAGTGGATAGAGCCCTGGGCCTGGAGTCAGTAGGACTTGAGTTCAAATCTAGACTCAGACACTTACTAGCTGTGTGACCCTGGACAAGTCATTTCACCCTGTTTGCCTCAGTTTCCTCATCTGCAAAACAAGTTGGAGAAGGAAATGGCAAACCACTCCAGTATCTTTGCCAAGAAAAACTCAAATGGGGTCATGGAGAGTTGGTCACGACTGAGAAGACTCAACAACAATACACAGTCTTACTTCCGTAGAAATTAAAATTGAACCAGAGAAATGTAGGCATTTTTCACATAGCAAACAATTAAGCCTCCACAAAAATAAAACACATAGAATTTTTAAAACATTCACTTGTCTGGAAAAATCAAATCAAGTGGGCACCAGAGCCTGCCAAGGAGAAGAAGGTAATGCAGTTTTTCTGCTAGATTTTGGGGGCGGTGATACAACCAATATTTACTCTTCTTTCAATTCAGTTAGCAACAAAACGTCTTGTATCCCAGCTCATAATTATGTCATGGTCATCATTTTACACATGTGACATTTAGACCAAAAGGATGTAACTTGTTCAGTTCTGGTTCCAGTTTATTCATCAGATGAGTAGAAATGTCCTTGTCCCTGTGTGTGGGTTATACTCATGATTTAATGGGCTTCCATCCTCCTGCTACAGATATCTCATGTCCAACAAGATCTTCCATGTAGCGTACTTCACAAATCCCAAAGAATGACAGAAACTGTGAACTACAATTTTTATTGTTCTGTGTAATCTAATTATTACAAATGTGTGGCGATCCAAGATTTGTGTCTAAGGAGCATGACACAGAATGTCAGTGTTTAAACTCTGTACTTCTCATAAAAGTATTCTTACTTTTTAGTAAAATGCGATGACCTCCTTCCTTCTTGCATAGCTAAGTCTCCAGCCATAACTCCCTTGAGCATTTCATTAATTCAATATACATAACGAGCATTCATTAAGCACTCTCCCATGGCTAGGTGTTGTAGCGGACAAAATGGCATACAATGATGAAGTTAATTTCCTCCTTAATAGTGTATCAATAATTAGAATAAATTGTTGACTTATTTAATGGCATCTCCAGATGCCTATCTTTTCTTCTACTTAATTCGTTCTTGTTTATGGTTTGCTTGGAAATCAGGTCCAGGCACCCATGAGAAGTTAATACTGCCAGTTATGATATTCAAAAGTCCATGATTAAATTGCACAACTCTGTTTAAAAGCAAAGTAAGCAACTTCTTGTTCAGAAGCTGTGTGAATATTTATCTAGAATGAATAGTTGCTGGGACAAACTGCAAGTGTGCTGGGGCTCTGGGCACATACTATGCTCACTGGGGAGAGGTGGGCAGCTGAACAAGGGAGCCTGGTGCTTTGAACAGTCCAAGTGTTCTCCAAAGAATAACAAACAGATCTATTTTCAAATATAGTTTCTGGCAAGACTGTTGGTATTTTTGCTTGCTTCATATTTTGGGTACTGTTGCTGAAATAAAAGACACAGGAGCATGGGTCTCTATAAGTCACAGACAGAGTTTGTAGGGAAATATTAATCTGGACTTAACATCTTCTACCCATGTTGAAATACTTGCTAGTATTGGAATACATTGGAAAGATGGTTGAATTTGCAGATATAGGACCTGAGTTCTAATTTCAGCTCTGCCATTTACTATTTATCTGACATTTAACCTC